GTACCTGACCACAGGTTCAAGAACCAGTGACTTTAAGTTTGTGACATCATACAATGACAACACGCTGCCTGCTGACCAGACTCTGAAGAAAAGTCCATCAGACTTTGCTGATGCTTTTGGAGATTCTTTGGACCCTCTGGAGGTAGGAGGACATGTTTTTAAACTAGGCTCTTGTGTTCCTGTCTTCCAGCCTTACTAATTCATATCAACTTTTTTCCACCATCAAACACCATATTCAATAACCAGTTTAATGGGGTAGTATGACACCAGGCAGATTACGCTCCTGAAATTTGGCTTATAATTCAAAATCGACAGTCTAAAACCCATAAAGTGAGTTGTGTGTGTCTCTGAAAATCAAAAGAAAAATGTTAAGAGGACTATAAACTTTTCTGGGATATGCAGTTATATTTTTCTATGCTGTGTGGCTTCTGGTTAGATTGTTTTATGCATAAGGACAATTACATTTTAGTTTAAGAGTAGATGGTATTGTTTCTATAGATGTTTATAATGCATCATCGATTAAATGTTATGCACACTTATCTAAACGCCTAACTACCTTTTCAGTGCTGGCTATGAACATCACACTGCTTGTTAAGTTGTCTGTTAAAGTTACTACTGAATGTAAATTGGATTCAAAATTGCTTCATATGCACCTGAGACATGAGATTTGGTTGACTTTAGAGTTTGGATTTTTCATGTGTTACAACTGCATATAACGGGATTCCCTAAAAGTAGGGCCTTGTTATGTTTTTGTCATTGATGGCATATCTTTATGCTTCACTATTGATCTGAACTCTCTGACTTTATACAACCATTTAGATGATCCTCTAGAATAGTGTTCTGGTATCACTTCATGGTGTTTATTAATTTGATGTTTTGTTTATCCTCTCTGCTCAGAAAGTTAAGAGGTTATGAGACAAGTAATATGCATCTACATTAGAGTTGTATTTGCAAGAGCAGCTTTCAAATACATATGAGAGAAATCATTCTTAAATTACTGAATATTTGATGTTGCAATATATGTTTTTATAGCATAATGTTCTTAAGTAGATTCCTAGTACTGAGGCATTATTCCTGTTCTTCACTATACTAAATCTATTTTCAAGGGTTACATTTTGTTAAGATTTCAAAAATACAAGGTCTCTGTTGTTTTAAATAGGCTCTCCCTGTATTTATTTATTTGAAATCCACCCAGTTAAAAGCTATTTGTTCATGCTTTGATCATCTCTGAAGAAAAAAATAGCTCCTGATCCACAAAGTATGTAAGGTGTTGAGCTAGTTTTTCATTTCTTGGTTATATATGACATGTACATACAGCAACAGCCATTTCAAAATAGTGCTATTGTCCTCATTGATTTAGTCTTATAACCTAACTCACCACGCAGTGGTCATATAATTGAACTTAGTCTATACAATCGAATATTGTAGTAGGTTCAAAATGGCTTACGAAGTCTTTTGTTTCCAGGCCACTGGCCGTAATGCTTTAAAAGTATATTATTGCTATTAACTGCATAAATGCTCACAATAAATATTTAGGGGTAGTTTTTTATGCCTTTCCAATTTAAAATCTTTACATGCAAAATTTAGCTTTTGATGATTACTCAGACATTCAGTATTAGCTTTTGTCACAGCAGGTGCATAAAAGTTGTGACCTCTGAGGGCACAATGAGTTGGGTCAAAATGATGCCATTATCAGTGGTGTTACCTGACTTTGTGTAAAGTCTCAGTTTTCACCCAAATGACTAATCACTGCAATGCAGATGAAGCTGAACTGTCAGTGCCACTTTTTCATAGTTTTGTGCTACAAATAAAGTGCAACAATTGTATTCCTCTATATTTTTCTCTATTCTGTAACCTCTAACTAAGAGAACAAATTAAAAACAACAGATGCATAATTCCAGTATCAGCATGCCATACTTTGAGAATGCACAGTCTTGTCTGGTGGTTGGAGAACTATAAGACAATGCAAACTGCTAAATAATATA